AATATTTCAATCACTGAATATAGCAACTTGCCTCCAAGAGCAGGTCACCATTTTCAAGGGGAAAACAGTAGTCTTTGTCTTTTCCCCTACACCGTTCGAAGAGAACACAAAGTGGGATTATGCTGTATCACCTCTTCCTTCTGTCATGAATACCTTTGAGTATCCTACTGAGGCATGTATCCAAGTTTATAGATGATGAAAACATCATATTTAGCTGAAGATCCTGTTCTTCTAGTTTTGTTAGTTTTGTTGTGGTTTTAGATCTCTTGTTGGCCAGTCCACACGCTACGGAAGCAGTGAGAGTAGCAAATATAAAATTTACAGTGCTCTTCCTGAGGATTTGGTGGAAAGTGGGCTTTAAAAGACAGATCTTCTCTGGAAAACGTTACTCCATAAGCCAAAAAGGGACTAATTCTCTAGGGATGCAAACCTCATCAAGCTTTAGAAATCCTGTGTCTTATAGATCAAACAGCTGGCACCTGCTTCATCCAGTGGTTTCTAATTGTGCCTTTTGGATGAGGCATTATAGTTGTACACAAGTCCAAATAGTCATATACTCCCAATTCCACCTTGTTTCCCGCAGCTAAACTGCATGAAAAAAAAAGCTAAAAAGGAAACACAATGGGTTTTTTCTGATTTTAATTTTCTCCACAAGCAGTTTTGACTCCTAGAGGTCTCCCATCAAGCCACAGAAGTCCTAATCTACAAACATGGGAGTGAAATGCAAAGCAACCTCATCTGACCAGTCATCTGCAGACTTTTGAAAGCTTCATGTTCATGGGTAAAGTCATTTATCTGATTAATAATTTATCCCCATCCTACCTATCAGAAGCCTGCTATTTTCATAGCAGAGCTTTACATATGTAAAGAAGGGTGCCTGATTTTTGACCCATCAGACCTGAAAATGACACATAAGCTTCTGCTCCCTGGAGAGATGAACTGTTTTCTATGTACCTCTACCCTTGCACCCATCCCACACTTAGACCTGTGGGTAATTAAATCAAAATCATTAAGCCATTCCAGTGCAGTGGGATGGTCAGCATGGAATTTGTGCTGAAAGGAACTGAAACTGACAATTTTGCAAGTTGCAGGTAAGGACAGTGACACCAAAATAAAGCAAGCAGCAGAGGTAATTTAAAGATGCGTTATTACTGCATCTGCCACACTGTTCACTCACAGCCACAAGCTTTTTATAAAAGGCCAAATTTAGGCAAATAATTCATAAAGAATGTAAATTTATTTTGTAACATTCCTTCTAACAGACAGTACTTTCCTTAAAGCTTACTGTTATTCAAAGTGTTTCAATAAGTTCATCAACAGAAGTGTTCTTTGCACTTGGAATGTCAAAAATGGCATCGTTTAGATGAGTGAGCAACTTTACCTTTTCCAGTTGAATTTCGTGTGTGTTCATGTAAAAGAAATTTGAGATTTGCCTTCCATGTGTGAAGAAATTAAAAAATGTCTCTGAATATACACTTATAAAACACAAATGCTGCAGTAATGACAGAAAAATGCTAGAAAGGTTTACGAATAAGATTGAAATTAACTAATTTAGAGTGGATATTCCAGAATTCCATTTACTTCTGCGAAGTGACAGAGAAAGGCAGGTGTCCATGTTGTTTAATCCTCAGTTAACTACCTTTTCCAGTTGAATTTCGTGTGTTCATGTAAAAGAAATTTGAAATTTGCCTTCCATGTGTGAAGAAATTAAAAAATGTCTCTGAATATACACTTATAAAACACAAATGCTGCAGTAATGACAGAAAAATGCTAGAAAGGTTTACGAATAAGATTGAAATTAACTAATTTAGAGTGGATATTCCAGAATTCCATTTACTTCTGCGAAGTGACAGAGAAAGGCAGGTGTCCATGTTGTTTAATCCTCAGTTAAAACTTAATTTCTCTAATGCTTTAAGGAATATGGATAAAAAATATATACAACAGTCTCAGTTTTCTTATGAAACTTTTTGGTATTACTAAAAGAAGTAAAAGTTCCAGGCATTATAGTCTTTAACATGGGCAACACCCTAATCTGTTGTGTAGGTGAGAGAAGTGCTCATGGTAGTTCAGTTCCAGTAACAGGAACAGGAGAGCTGGATTCTGTTTTTCACTCTGCTTTTTCACTTTGCCAAGGGTATAAAATGAGAGTTTGGACAGTTTACATCCCAAGTACAACATCCAGTACTGCAGCACTTGATTTTAAACAAGGAGCCACATCTTTAATACTGATGCCTAAGCTTCCTGTACAGTGAAATGTCTCACATTCTGATTTCACTTGTGCTCACTTGGCTGCAAGAGTGTCTGAAACAGCCCCGAGTCTGACTGGGAAAACTCCACTGTGGCTGTATCATAGAACTTATTCAGCTGAAACAAGGTGAGCGTTTCTCTGATCAGTTTCACACCACACCTGCACAAAGAGCTGTGCTAGCCCACCGTGCCACAGGGGCAGGAATGAGTGACGGGACTAAAAGAAGCCAACGTTGCCATGAATGAGCGAAGAGTAAGAAAAATAAGGGGAAAAGAAAAAGCCAAGCTGAGGAGCACATCTTGAGCACGCTGCTTCTTAGGAGTTAACCTCTGGTCTGTACCATGGATCGTTTGTAGGGGTTAAAACTGGGTGAATAAACCTTTCCAGGGCTTACGGATAATCTGCGCATACTTCCACAGAAACTCAAGTACATTCCCAAACTGTGAGAAAGCCAGGTTCAAACCTCACACCTCTGCTTAAAAGCAACATCAGAACTATTTATTTAAATTGCCTGCAGAAGTCGCATCCTTGATAATGGGTGCAGGTGGATAAGCAATTTTAGACTTTGCCAATGTAGTGGTTTCAACGTATATGAAATAGTAAAATACTAAGTAGTACCAGTTATACCAATATTGACTGCAGCCTTGTGATCCTGGCATCCTACTATTTCAAAAACTAACATTAAAATAGCCATAAAGGGTCAGTTCCTTTTAAGTGGTAACTTTTATCTTGTGAGTAAGCAATAGCAGAAAACTACCAAACCCTCCCCCATAGAGCAAGATAAGGCCATCCCCTAAACAGATCTCCAGCCAAGCAACTTGTAAGTTGCAGCTTTTAAGTCAGGGACTTCGGAGCCAAGTTGTATCTGCATGTTTATTCTTTTTGTTTTCCTCCACTAAGCATTTCCTTCACCTGTAACAAACATATGTTCAAGTACATTGTCTGCCTCTTTTCTTGAGCTCGTGTAAATTGGCTGTATGTGTAATACCCACTGGCAAGGCTACTGAAGCAGTGCTTTATTGAAGCATTTACATAATGCACAACAGTTTCATCAGAAGAGAGCAAAAATATCAGAATAAATAAATACATTCAAGTTATATAAACTGAATAAAATAAACATGAATAGAATAAGCACCCAAGTATAACCTGGATGCTCGAGCAGCCTCCTGGTCATCAGTGGACTAACTAAACCTATGCACCCAAGTATTTTATGCACTTTCAGAGCTAAGTAGCCTCTTACAGCACTCGAGGAGCCCCATAACAAAATCAGACATGCAGCAGATACAGGGTGTCTTTTCTGTGGGTTTAGCCCTTTGTGCCTCACCTTCCACATCTGTTGTGTTTTCCTGCTCCAGAGGAGCGTTGCGAGACTCAGCTAAGCACTGTCCACCACGTGACTTCAACTTTAAACTCAACAAAAAACACTCACAGACACAAAAAGGCACACCCACCTAAGATTTTTTTTTTTTTTTTTGCAAGACCAGAGGCTTAGTGAGCGGCGAGAGTTTTGAAACCTGGGGCGGAGAACACCAGAGAAGCGCAAAACGCTTATTTTTAGCGAGTTACCTCAGAAGCATTTAAAACAAAAACAACAAGAAGAAGAATCACTTTAGGTTGGTCACTTTCACATTCCTGCGTGACAGCCAGCAAAAATAAACAAGCACACACACACCCCCCCCACCCCAGCCCAGCTGGAGAATGTCTTTTCTTTTTCTCTTTCTCCCCTCACCCCCCACCTCCCTCCCTTTTCCCTTTCCTCCACACCCCTGATTTCTAACCCCTTCGAGTACTGCCAGGCCTGGGGATGGGGGCGAGGGGAGAAGGGGGATCAGGGGAG